GCATGGCATGCCACGGCCTCGGCCCGCATGCCATGCCACGGCCTCGGCCGAATGACATGCCACGGCCTCGGACCGCATGCCTTGCTACGGCGTCGATGCCACGGCCTCGGCCCGCATGCCTTGCCTCGGCCACCCCCCATCGCCCCCTGCCCCCCCCCTGCCACCCCCACCCACCACCCCCACCACCATCCCCCACCACCCATCCACCCGCCACCACCACCCACTCGCCATCCGCCACCCACCTGCCATTACCACCCGCCACCCACAGGCCACCACCTACCACCACCAACTACCCACCACCCACCGTCACTATCCACCACCGTCTTCCGTCGCCACTTGCCACCACTTGCCATTTCTCACTCTTTTTTATATTTTTAAAATTTTTTAAATATTTTGTCAATTACCAAACGCGTTTGTAGTTTATGTTTTTCTAAAAATAAACAAAAAATAAACAAAAACCAATTTATAAAATTTTTGTAAATATAAACTGAAAACGTAAACGTTACCAAACACACTCTCTTTTGTTTGTTAACCCCCAATTTATAACTGCATTTCTATCCTTTAAAATAAAGGGGAAAAAAAAATAAAATTGTGCACAGCTGTTCTAAATAATCTGTCCACTCACAGAAGATGTTAGAGGGAAAAACAGAAATTGCTAATGAATTTGGTTACAATTTGCATAAGGAAAAGCTCCTACATTGAACATCAAATCAGGCCTAAACAGAATTTAAGTAATCAAACAGAAAAAATATGAATATTAGTATTTACAAGGACATGTCATTAACATTCTTCAGCCATTTTGAAGAATTCAATAACCATATTTTTAAACATAATTTCATATGATTAACAGTTCTCAAAAGGAAAAAAAGAAAGAAAGAGTTTTTGATCAATCTGATATTGGTGCATTAGAAAAAGAAAAAACATCGTTACCTATACAATTGAACGCTGCCTTCTAACCAGTAATGGTCACAAAACTGTACTCGGAAAAAGGTGATTTACTTGAATAAGCTTCATACACCGGCAATTCTGTTGGTGTCCCTCCATATTGATCCAAAAAACTCACCATCAAGGCCAAGGTTCAACACCATGCATCAGATTAAATTTAGAAAAAGGAAGAGAGAAAAAAAAAAGGCAATACCTTTTTTCGATCTATAAAAGGGAATCTTCCAGGTAATGCAAAATCATCTGTCATTACTCCGCTGTTCAACTCAAAACACGCTATCAAAAGAAACATGGAATTGGGCAATACGCATAGGTTTTGGACTTGAAGCATTTGCAAGGCCTTGAAGCAATCGCACCACATCAGCAGCATCATCAAGATAATATTTGGCCTTGCTTGGCTTTTGCCCAACAGTACAGGCAAATATCTCAGGAGCTACACGCAAGGATGGCCGAGCAACTGTACTTAATATGCTCGCAAACATGTCTTCATCTGATCTATCATCCCCAATACACATCACAAAGTCTGGTGGATCCCCACAATTAACCATTGTTGAGAGAACCTTCTCTGCAACCAACCCTTTGCTTAGTCCCTGCACATTGTGAGAATTTGGTATAAAATCTGCTTAAGGTACAAATGCATGTGTGCTCGAGTGTGAGAATGTGTTTGCGGTAGAACACTGGCGTGTGTACGCACGTGCAAGAGCAATATTTCCAAAAGACACTAATAAACCAAACCAAACCAAGCCTTAACTCCCATCAAATAAGGTCGGCTACATGAATCCTTCTTTTCCATAGTCCTATCAAAGGTCATTTCGTTAGTCAAATTAAGTATCTCTATTTACAACGCTACCCAACGTTAATTTAGGCCTACCCCGTCCTCTAACACTTTTATCTACCGTTACAGCATCGCATCTCTTCACTACTGCCTCTGTTGGTCTCCATTGAATACGACCAAACTATCTCAATCAATTCTCTCTCAACTTATCTTCTATCAGTACTACTCTTACAAATTCCCGAATACACTCATTCCTAATTCTGTCTTGTCTAGTTTTGCCACACATCTACCTTAGCATTCTCATCTCAGCCGCACTCATCTTATCTACATGTTATTTCTTGGTTGCCCAACACTCCGTTCCATGCAACATTGCTGGTCTAATAGCCGTTTTATAGAACTTATCTTTAAGTCTAGTGCGTATTTGTTTATCGCACAATACCCCAGACGCACTTCTCCACTTACACCATCCCGCCTTAATCCTATGGACCACATCCGCATCAATATCCCCCACTGTTGTGATAATCGACCCTAAATAACGAAAATGTTCACTCTTAGGCAGCTCTTAGTTTTCAATCTTCACTTCTCCTCTACTTTCAATGTTACTGTTACTAAATTTACACTCCATGTACTCTGTCTTAGTTATGCTTATCCGGAATCTTTTAGATTCAAGAACTTTTCTCCAAATCTTCAACTTTGTATTAACTCCTTCTCTAGTCTCGTCCACTAACACTATATCGTCTGCAAAAAGCATACACCATGGTACGTCATCCTGGATATTTCTCGTCAACTCATCCATAACTAAAGCAAAAAGATAAGGACTTAAGGTAGATCTTTGGTGTAACCCTACAGTGATAGAAAATTCATTTGTCTCTCCAGCAGGCGATCTAATAGTGGTCACCGCCCCTTTATACATGTCCCTAATCACATCAATGTAACCTTTTGTCATCCCTTTCTTCGCTAACACCCACCATATTATATCCCGAGGCACTCTATCATATGCTTTCTCAAAGTTGATAAATACCATATGAATGTTTTTTTTTTTTTTTTTTTTTTTTTTCTATTACCCTCCTCAAAAGATAGATCGCTTCCATTGTTGGCCTGCTTGGCATAAACCCAAATTGATTCTCTGACACCTCTGTTATATCTCGCAATCGGAGTTCTATCACCCTCTCCCACACTTTCATTATATGACACATTAGCTTGATTCCTCTATAATTGTTGCAATTCTAGACATCTCCTTTATCCTTATAGATTGGCACTAAAATACTCTTCCTCCACTCATCTGGCATGTAGTCAACAAAATTTTGCTAAACAACCTAGTCAACTAAGCAGCCCCCTTTTTACCCAAACACTTCCAAACTTCAATAGGAATATCATCTGGTACTAAAGCCTTATTTGATTTCATCTTCTTAAGTGCAAACTCCACTTCAAAGTTCCTAATCCTGCGATAAAACCTATAGTCTTGGTTTATCGTATTACTGGCTATTTCTTCCCCTATTGCCGTATCTCCATGTTCCTCATTTAATAGTTTCTCAAAATAGTTCTTCCATCTTTCCTTAATCTCTTCATCCCTCACTAGTACCTTAGAATCCTCACTCTTGATGCACTTAATTTGATTAAAATCTCTTATTTTCCTCTCCTGTATCTTAGCAAGTTTGTATACCCACTTCTCTCCCTCCTTACTATTTAGTCTAGTGTATAGGTCATCATAAGCTTTCAGCTTAGCCTCTCTTACTACTTTCTTGACCTCCTTATTAGCCAATCTATAGCTCTTAATATTTTCCTCAGTTCTATCATTTTGCCACTTTTTAAAGCACTCTTTTTTTGCCTTAACTACCGCTTCAACCTCTTCCCTCCATCACCAAATTTCCCTAGAGCTGGGTCCCATTCCTTTCGACTCTCCAAGCACTTCCCTTGAGATTCTCCTCATACAATTGGCCATCAAGTTCCACATAGTGTTAGCATCATCTTCCAAGTCCCAAGCACCTTCCTTATCCATTCTATTATTAAATATTTCTAATTTATCCCCTTTTAGGTCCCACCATCTCGTCCTACAACGCCCATCATCCTTCTTAGCTTGATATTGCCCTCTAAAACATAAATCTAGTATCAAAATCCTATGTTGAGGGGTCAGGCTCTCTCCAGGAATCACCTTACAATAACTGCATTTTAGGCAGTCCACTTCTATTACTAAGAAGTAATCTATTTGACTCTTAACTGACCCACTCTTAAAGGTTATCAAATGTTCCTCCCTCTTCTTATACATAGTATTTTAGGCAATCTCATTTCTGTCACCAAAACCATATCCACCATGCACCATTTCATAGCCTAGTTTATCTATGCCTACATGGCCATTAAAATCTCCACCTATAACCAAATTCTCTCCTACGGGTATCTCCAGTAAAATCTCATCCATCTGCTCCCAAAAATCCCTCTTAGTCTGATCATCTAATCCTACTTAAGGAGCGTATGCACTAATAATGTTTACTATATTCCCTCCAATAACTAGTTTAACTAATATAATCCTATCCCCTTTCCTAATGACCGCTACTACATTCTCCACAAGACCCTTGGCAATTAAGATTCCTACCCCATTCCTGTGTCTATCCTTACCACTATAATACAGTTTAAAACCGGTATCCTCAATTTTTCTAGCTTTCTCACCCATCCACTTAGTTTCTTGTATGCAAACTATATTAACTATCCTCCTAATCATAACATCTACCAGCCCCATCATCTTACCAGCTAAGGTTCCTATATTCCAAGTGGCTACCCTAAACCTATAGTCTTGGACTAGCTTCTTTACCCACACTTGTCCAGAAAAACGCGAGAACCTTGGACCATTTTTTACCGCACCCAGGTGTCGATGCGGCGCCCCTTACTCACTTTTCGAAACACTCGGAGACAGGCACAACGCGTCACTTGAGAGGAATGACCTAACATTTAAACGATTCAAAGTAAGATTCATTGTCGTAAGAGATCCGAGCGGCTTTTTACGTGTTGGCTGTCGGTTACCTAAAACACAATCCTCCTCAACCCGAGCTTGGGACCGGCGGAGTTGTCAACAACCCCAACGGAGTTCCAGAAGACACTAACACTCTAGCAAATTATGTTTTGAAACACAAGTTCTGAAACATGGTACACTTTCGTTCTAAAAGGGTAAATTCAGCGATCTAAAATGATTTTAAAGTCTTTTCCAACATATTTCCTAAAATTTTCCTTTTAAAAATAAACAAATCAAATATACTACACTAAAATCTAAGGTGAGTGTCATTTTGACAGGACAAAACTTAAAAAATGAGCCAGAATACTTATAGAAATGTGTTTGCTACATGATTAATTTGGAAAAAGTAGAAAAAAACCCTCATTTTATTGGATGTTTAATTCATACAAAAAAATTACTCTAAAAGTACTTTAAATACTTATAGTGTAATCTATACAAATCTACTCCTATCGTACCACATTTTAAAGCATATAGCGTACCACGTTCCAGTTCCTGTTGCACATACTGGAGGGATCCATGTTCCAGGTAACATAGTGCAAGAGCTTGCTTGGTGTGTATATGTGTGCATGTGTGTGTGTGTGCACGCGTGCGAGAGAGAGAGAGAGAGAGGCACGGTCATACTTGTGGCTTGACTTCAACAATATGTTGGCCACTGCAGACAACAGCTGGTTCATTTGCAAGTACATTTTCCAAATGGCCCAACATTTCTTTGGCTTGGCAAGATCCAAAGTCAGGGTCTGCATCTTGATGGTGCCACACTAGTGCACTCTCTTTAATTTCAATGTTAGAGCCATCAGTTGCCTCAGTGTATAACTTCATTACAGGTTCCACAATTTCCTTCCAATCGAGGTCTGCAGTCGAGGGACAGGATTCCCAGTCAGAGTTTTTATTCCACCTGCAACGAGAAAGAATAACACAAAACTCACTACAATGTAGCATCTGAAAATGGAAGCTGAACCAAAAAAACACATTAGCGACATACCTAATGAAGTACCCATGTTCAGCAGCTATTCCCAGCCTCTCACATGGAGCAAGCCACTCACTCAGTGAACTTCTTCCCCTCCCGCTAACAATAAAGACTGTGTTCTTTGGGTCGTTGCATAGAGTATTGAGAACAGTAGTAAGTTCAGGGCTGGGGCTTTTAATAATACAGCTTTGAGGAACAACAGTACCATCATAGTCCAGAAATATAGCCCTTCTCTTTGCCCTTTTATATGCCGAGACAATGTGGTCAATAGACAACTTTCTAAAACTTGGAGAAAGTGAAAGAACCCTGAAGCCCAGTCCCAAACCAATTCCCCAGCAGCGCTTACTGTAGTGATCTTTGCATGCTCTCTCCAAATCCTGCACAAAGCTGCGAGCCCAATAGGCCACATCATGAGAACTAACATATCGATAATGCTTATCGTGCCGCAAGTGCTTCTCAGAATCAGGCATTGTGATTGCCAAATTCATAGCCTCAGCCACAGAATCAATATCCCATGGGTTAACCCTAATTGCTCCACTTAGAGAAGGTGAACAGCCTACAAACTCAGACACAACAAGCATGCTTGTGCGAGGCGAATCTGTCTTCATACCCACGGCTTTATCCGTTTCTGGTGAGCCCTGCCTGCAAACTATATACTTGTAAGGAACTAAGTTCATACCGTCACGCACTGCATTCACAATACAACATTCCGCCACAGCATAATAGGCAGTCTTTTCATAACGAGCAACGGGACGATCGATCAAAATTACTGGCTCATAATCAGGAGATCCATAAACATCATTGATCCTTTTGGCAGTCGAATATGTTTCTCTTTTTGCTTCCTGCACATCTTTTCCTGAGCTCCTAGCAGGGTTTACTATTTGAACCAAGACTAATTGACCCTTCAACTCCTGATGCTGCTGCAAGAGCAGTTCAAATGCTAGTAGTTTCAGACTGATGCCTTTGAATATGTCCATGTCATCAACACCAATAATCACCTTTTTCCCCTTAAACTGCTCCTGAATCTCTCTGACTCTGATAGATGTAGAAGAAAGACTCAGTGCAGATTCAAGTTGACCCATATGAATACCCACAGGCAGAATCTTAATGAACACTGTACGACCGAAGTAATCAAGCCCAATATATCCTCGCTTAGATTCATAATTCAGACCTAGCATTCTACTGCAGCATGACAGGAAGTGACGGGCATAATCAAATGTATGAAAACCAATTAAATCACAATTCAGTAATCCTTTCAGAATTTCATCTCTAACAGGTAGAGTTCGATAAATTTCAGATGAAGGGAATGGACTGTGCAGAAAGAATCCTAGCTTGACACGATTGTAGCACTTCCTCAAGAAAGTAGGGAGAACCATGAGGTGATAATCATGAACCCAAACATAATCATCTTCAGGATTAATTATTTCCATAACTTTATCTGCAAATATTTTATTTGCAGACACATAGGCCTGCCAAAATTGGCGATCAAAGCGGTCACCATGCTCTGGGCACATAGGTAGCATGTAATGAAATAGAGGCCATAGTTGCTGTTTGCAGAAACCATGATAGAACTTTTCCTGAAGGTCATGGGGTAGGAAGGTGGGAACGCAATTAAAATTGTCAAGAAGTTTCTGGGCAACTTCTTCCTGTTCACTGGCATCTATGTCAACCTTGAGGGAACCCACATATATAACCTCAGTCTCAGGTGAAAAGCCATCCTTCAATTGTAATAGCAGTAAATCCTCATCCCAGCTGAAGCACCATTTGGCAGTTTCTGCATCCCATTGAGCATGCAAAGGAAGCATATTTGATACTATAATTTTCCTCTCACGACAAACTGATGAAGTCCCATCGGAATCAGCATCCACGTCAGAGATAATTCCAGGTACAGTCATTACCCTTGGAAGAGATCTAGGAGTTTGAGGGATATCAAGTAGGTCCCCAGAAGCCAAATCCAATAAGTTTGTGCATGATCTTGATGCCATGACCAGTAGAAAATTTTCTAGGCATACAGGTACTGGTAAAAAAACCTACAACACCTACAAAACCAGAACTCCATATCAGTATTTCCATTGAGCACTGCATAAGCCTACATTTAACTCATTATCATATAATCATCCAAACAAGTCATATCAAGTATAAATAAAAGATAAGAACAAAATTTAATGTCAAATTTCAATTTCAGTTGCTTGACTACAGTAATACAGTAACATTTTTCATGAGTCATGGTTAGGTGTTCCATTCCACTTGAATTAGAAATTAAAATTCTGTAGGTTGCAATTTTATGTCATTCTTTTCTTTTCTTTTTTGGATACGTAAAACAGAAGTAAATGATAGAGCCGTATGCAGGAATCAAACCCTTGGTGACTCCATTTGGAAAGAGCACTTCTTTTTCTTTCTTGCTTTTTTTTTCGGGCTTGCCTGAAAGAGCTCTTCATGTATAATTGAAAATGGTTGTACCAAATGCACGAGGCACCCGCTTCATAGTAGGATCTAGGAGTGGTAGTAGGTAGCCTATCTTAACCCTCTCTTTTTGTGGAGAGGCTAATTCCCATTACTCAAAGCAGAATCACAAGACTGCAGTGGATGAGCACTTGCCATCGCACCAAGTTAGAAATCTCTCTTCCTTATTCTCTAACTTCTCACATTACTACATAAAGATACCAGAGCTTTGGGACAGCCTTTCTTAATAATCTTGATCAGGGTATCAACTTTAACTGACGTCTATCAATTTCCACATCAGAGAGAATCAGAATGCAATCTGCATAATTCCTCTCTCCCATATGAACAAAACTTTACTCGACTAATATAACTTATAACTTCTCACTCTCATATTCACCTACAATATATAGGATGGAAGGGACAGAATCACTAGTTATTTGACCAATTATTAAGGTAGCTACCCACAAGCATGTACTGATTTATGGTCCCCCCCAATTTAACTATTGACTTAAAAACTATTTGTGCCAAAAATTTGGAATCCACCATTTGCTTGTCTGCATGGACATGTAAGAGGAATTCTGAAGTTTATCATAATGACTTAAAATCATTAACTACAATTTTTAAACATATTCATGCTCATGTAAAACTTCTAGAGAACACTTTTTGGCTGATTACATGGGCTGCATTCTAATTATACTCTATCCTTGTTAGCCCATGAAAACAGACAATAATCACATTCATTAAATGGTTACTGAGAGCAATCAACAACATCAATCTTCTGTGCTGACTCTTGCCAAACAGACAGCCCATGAAGTGTGAGAAACAATCGAACAGGGATTACTAGAGAAGAGCTCATATGACAGTTTACCTATTAATGCTTTGCAACTATTTAACCTATACAGCACCCCAACGAATGAATGATTTTTCTTTTCCCTTAAAAGTCTTTTGCATAAATATAGTAAAATATATCTTTCTTTCCCTTAAAAGTCTTTTGCATAAATAAAGTAAATAGGGGTCAAGTAAATAAAAGAATTTAAGATAATAGTGAATCAAAACACTCACTAAAATCTAGGTGAGTACCACAACATTTAAATCTCCATTCTCTTATCTAGTGCACAATGCACATTAAAACTTTGCCATGTTTTGATAAGCATCAATGGATAATTACATCATTGAGTGAATGAAATTCCCTGTTTTATTTACCAAAAAAAAAATCCTTGTTTTGATAAGTAATTTGTTTACATAAGTCTGAACTATGTGATCCACATACACCTTTTCTCCACTCAAGACACATTAAGTGCCAATGTCTATAAAGCCCAAATGTAAGGTGCATCATAGAGCACAAGCTAGGTTAAGTAAGCCATGTGTATGATACACATATGTATTAAATCACAACTTAATGAAATTAAAATATGAAACACAAGCAAAAATTTGAACTTTTTATCATATCCACTCAATTTGTTAACTAAATAAATATTGATGTGTATCTTTACAATTAATATATGCATCAACTAAACCAAATATGACTACAAATACACAGTGATAAAAGCTCCAGGATTAAATTCAAGAATATGTTATATAACTTTAAACACTAAGAATCAAGCACTAGAGATCCATATGCCCATGAATCTCGAATACAAAATATTAGCAATTATAAGCCACATTATCTATCTACAAAACCATGACATTGGTTCAACCAGTCTTTGAACCAACTTTTGGATTTTGTAGAGACCTTTAAATAGGTTTTTGACGAATAGAATACATAGGTTTTCCTATGTATAAGACTTTATGGGCCTAATTGAAAGCATGTTGCTTGACATAAAATGAGGAAATATACCCTAGCCTTAATGAGCTTGGGCATTTTGCGGCCTTGGCTTCAAACTTTCTAAAGATTTTCACACTAGAATGTTTATGATAAGGAATAAATGGCCTAAATGATTAAACCAAGCTATGCATGGCACATTAAGCTCACATGGGGCCTAGTGAGTAGTTGGTTCAAATCCTATTCACACTGAACCCCACTTAGCAGGCCTGGCCCTAGGCAGGGCGCCAAATTCTGGGGAAATATATAGATCCATAATAGCATTAGAAAATTTAAAACAAGGCCCAAATACATTCAGGCCCAATCTTTTAGATAACTCAAAAAAGTTAAAAGGTCCAATCTTTCAGATTACTTAAATAAGTTAAAAGGGCCCAAAAAGATGCTGGTTCTAAATTGAAAAAATAAAAAAATTCACATCAGTCGATGTACCAGCAACTAGGAAGTTCAAAAATAAATAGATAAATGCAGCAGCAGCGACCTGCAACCAATACTTTTCTTCAAGTCTTCTTCTTTTTCAATCCATACAGCAGTGACTAGGCAGCATTGAGCGTCCAGCAAGCAACAAGCAGCAAGCAGCAGCGAGAAGCAAATTAATTGCAAGGAACGAGCAGTTGACCAGAAATCCATGTCCAGTGGCAGTGAGTCCACTCTCTCTCTATTTCGTTAACGCGTTTTAATGGAAGAAATCTTTGCGCGGATTTCTATAATTTCTTTGCCTAAATTGGTTTTAGTTTTGGTCCAATGTGCACCGTAATTTCTACCCGAATTGGCTTTTAGCTTCTGGTTTAATGTGTGCCCTAACTGGTTTTAGGTTTTAGTTCAAAGTGTGTCCTAATTTAATAATCTCTAATTTTTGTGCCCTAAGTTCTGTAAACATGTTCTTTGAAAGAATCTAAAGCTAATATAACTCTATTTCAATGTGTCTGTAAACATGTTCCTTGTAGATTTCTGTGGATTGAATTTCTGTGGATTGTGGATTGTTGATTATATAATCATGTTTCCTACACAGTATAGCTATGGATATCAAAAAAGAAAAAAGAAGCAAAAAGTAGAAAAATTAATTCGAGTAAATTTTGTGCAGATATTAGCAAATAATTTTTTTAATTTTTTTGGGGGGTCATTTACCATTTTACTGTAACTTTTTTTTTTCTAGGTAAATATGTAAAAGGGCCCCCACTTAGAAATTCGCCTAGGGCCCCATAAAACTCAGGGCTGGCCCTACCACTATGTACTAGAATACTAGATAAGCACCTAACATAAAATTATTAGTGATAGTGGAAAAGGTGGGAAATAGATTAAAATTTGAATGAAACAGATAACATGAAACTCTTCTGAAATTCATAAATAGAATGAGAGGAGTACGAGAAAAAGGGGGAGAAAATAACGCCAAAAGGAGGAGTTAAGATTTAAAAGAGAAGCATACATACAAAGAAAATCATAATAATAAGTATTAAAAGAAACATAAATTCTTCCTAGTTAAGAGTTGGACTAGGTAGTCATATCTTAAGGCCAAACGGGAAACCTTCATCTGGATTCCAGTCTGATAAGTAGAAACACATGTTATTGTATAACAGTCATAATTATTATTTATTAATATACTAAACTCATGATAAGAACCCAAGTATGAACCGCTGTAAAACAGTAAAATTTTGTAAAAAGCTGCAGGATACAACAAAATATCTAAATGTTTAGCTAGATGCAGATGAGGCAATCACCTAGACATTAATTCAGCTCCATTCAGTAATAATTCACTGAAGGTTGTTATTGCATGATATTACAGTAACCATGCAAAGAAAAGATGATAATCATTAACAAAAGGCATTAGATTCTCATTAACCTTTTTCTCATACTTATCCATTCCCTTAATGCGGAAACAATCCCTCAATGCGCAAACAATCTTCAAAATTTTTTATTGAAAAAATAATGGGGTGGTTTGGGATGTTCTAAATAAGTGCACTTTTTGACTTTTTATGAAATATGGGTTGGGTTTGGCTTGGGTTTGAAGTGATGTGGCAGAGAGGCGATGTGACTTAAATAGAATAGTGACTTTTTGACTTTTTTAGTACATGACAAACAAGGCCAAAATAAAATATAGGTCATTTCCCAAAACTTTTGTCTGAAGTATCTTCAATTTCTCATCTAGTTCTATGAAAATAACATCTTAATTTTCTTCCATAAACCCACAATGCAATTACGGCATGTTTGTTTAGACGAACTGCATTAGATAGGATTAGCATTCTTAGGACTATTATATTATTAGTGCTTTTGGATTGTCTATCCTATCTCATATTTGAATTGGCTCAGGATTATGAGAAGGGATTAATAAAATCCTATCATTTTTTTCAATTTGACCAATTAGTAAGAAACCTTTCACTAGTCCTCCATTTTTGTATCCCACCTCCCCTCTTGCGATTCAATAATCCCCATATGAGGATACCATGTCTGGATGGACGGTGGACTATTAGTCCGATCTGGACCTTAATTTTCATAACCAAACATCAAATTACGTATTTTTTTGGATTATTACCCCAATCCCAACGCCATGTCCGTCCAAAAAACATGGCCTTAAAATTTATTTATTTTTGTAGTAATTCCGAGCCAACTGTTTTTGTAGTCCTTATAGATTACAAAACGAAAATCGACAATATTGAAACAACCAACAAACAAAATTTGTAGGAAAGCACTCAAAAGTACCAACAAGCATCGATGAATTTAAAATAAAAATAACTGAAATCCAGACTGTAGTTCAGAAAACGACTTCAATTTTCTGTCAAGGCTTCTAGATCTCAACAGTGGAACCAAAAATAAAATAAAATAAAAAACTAAAATATATGGCCAGATAAAAGGAAAATCATATTAACAATCTAAGAGAAAAACTTCACTACTCCACATCAAAGATCAAGGATTTCCCATAATAATTACACATATACACACATAACACATATCTAATAAAAATTTCAAACAACTATCAATTCGCCGCTTGAAACAAGACAACTACTTCAGTGTCTTCACAGGTCGCTAAAATCCGAGAAAAAAGAAAATGGAAGAGAAAAATGTTATCAATTTTATCTTATTTTCCTGCGTTTTCTCAGCAACCAAACGGAAGATTCAAGAGCAAGAGCAAATCAGAGAAAGAGACTTGTTCGGGTGTGAACTTACCGGCGAGAGCTCCGGTGGCCGGAAAAAGCGTTGTGGTGATGATTTGCGACGGCGAAGAGCGTTGAAAGTAGGAGGAGAAAGAGGTTTGGTTCGATGTTCAACGGAAGCGAAGAATAGGAAAGGATGGATCAGGATATATATATATGTGTAGTTTAGAGAGAGAGGGAGAAAGAGAGAGAGAGAGAGAGAGAGAGAGGGAGAGGGTTTACCGTAGTTAAATTTTAACCCAGGACTCGGACTACGTTTCGAGTTTCCGTTTACTTGTTATGTTACTAACAAATAACCCCTTTGCTTTGACTTATTTACGTTAATACCCTATCTTATATTTATCCGTTTAAATAAATATATTTAAGGCTAGGGTTTGGGGGGTGGTTTTTTTGTGATTTTTTAATGATTTTTGTAGTGACTTTTTTAATTAATGCATTTAGTAAGTTACCAAAAAAATTGAGAAAAAAAAAAGAAGTTAATATGATTTTGACTTTTTAATTTTTTGGTTTGTTTTTTTAGTAAAAGTTCACCTTTTTGGTGTTGTCATAAAATAGTTAATGTGTATAGAATTTTTTTTTTTTAAATTATTGTTTTGTGAGTGAAAAAATTGATATGACGTTTAATTTTTTTAGATGATGACAAATTGTTTAGTGACTTTTTGATATTTTAAAGTTGGGTTAATTTTTAAAGCTAAAAAACGGGAGATCTTCTAGGGTTTCTCGATCTGTCAGGGGGCCCATTGATTTCACATCTATTCTTTGTAGATGATAGCTTACTGTTTGAAAATGCGGATGACTAGAATATGTTAGAGGTGATTGAAATTTTGCACAAGTATGAGGAAACTTCTAGGCAGCAAATTAATTTTAGAAAGTCCGAAATCTATTTTAGTCCGAAATTTGTTAATTAAAATGGTGGCCCAATCAATTCCTACATACGTTATGTTGTGTTCTTTTAAAACTTGATGGAATCTATAATAAGATAAATTCTTTGATTGCAAAGTTTTGGTGGGGCCAAAAGAAGAAGAAACGAAAAATTCACTGGCGGAGTTGGCAATGGATGTGCAAGTCGAAGGGAGAGGGTAAGATGGGTTTTCAGTTGTTATCGGTGTTCAATAAGGCGTTGGTGAAGCAAAGCTAGAGATTATTGAAATTCCCAGATAGTTTGATGGCACGTGTTTTGAAGGCCAAGTACTACCTTCAATCTTCCATTCTCGAGGTGAAGTTGGGGTTTAATCTGTCATTCTCTTGGCATAGTATATGGAGGCTTGTATTAGAGGCGGGGTTGCGGTGGAGAATTGGTAATAGTCAGAAGGTTCGATTTGGAAGGACAAATGGTTGTCTAGACCTTGCACTTTTAAGGTTATGTCAATGTCGTGTGCATTAGAAGAAGATGATCATGTGTGCTCTTTTATTGATATGGTAGATGGTGTCTAGTAGGGGTGTAAATGCTTCCGTTCGGTCAGTGTTAAGAGTATATTTAGCATCGAACTGATCATTTCAATTTTTATGATTGAGAAACTGATACAGATCGTATGCTACAATTCGATTTTGTCAGTTTGATGTAGAAAAGAAATTTACATGAAAATTTTAAAGGTTTAATAGTAGATTATAGAATTTTATATTGAAAATAAATGAAGAAAATATATGAAAAATTACTCTATAAATATTTTTCTCCCTAATTTTTATCACATAAGTGTATTATATTAGTTACTCCTCACATAATGTTCAAGAATTATAATATAAAAATATTTAAATATAATATTCGGTTGGTTCAGTTTGTATCAGTATAAAAAGTTTCAAAACTGAAACAGACCGTATGTTATGAAAAACAAATCAAAAACTAAAATTTTGGTCAATTTCGATCGGTTGGTTTGGTTTTATCAATTTTTCTTACATCCCTTGTGTCTAGGATAATCGTGTGCTTTAGAAGTGCTTTCCGGAGTTTGAAGTAATGGTAATTAAATCGGTGTCTACTTGTCTGTGGCCTGTGGATGATGTTCTGGTGTGGCACCATACAAAGCAAGGGGTCTTCTCAATTAAGTCAACATATCATTTAGAAATGAAAATTCGCAGTAGAGATGGCCATGCTTCTTCATCAAATGAGGGGTGTGTGGAGAAGTGCTTTTGGCGTGCTAAAATTCCAAAGAAAATTAAGATTTTTAGATGGAAGTTAGGGTTGAATAGTTTGCCAGTATGGGTCAATCTAATGAAGAGAAAGATAGTAGATGATGCATGTTGTGCTTTGTGTCAAACAGCAGTTGAAACGACCTCTCACTGTTGTTTTGATTGTGAGTTTGCCATGAAGGTTTGGGAGCATACCCCTCTGGTTTCGGCCTTGTGAGATCAAATGATGAGGTCATCGTTGGATTGGTTGATTAGGGTAGCAAATTAACTGGAGACGTCGGCGCTTAATTTGTTTTTGATTATCTGTTGGTGCTTATGGCCCATAGAAATCAAGTGGTGTTTACAAATTCCAGGAGAATTGTTGTAGACCTTGCTGCCCATGCTAGTGAATATTACTAGGAATTGGTGACAATTCAGCAACGTGTGGAGGTAGCATTGAATCCAGTTTTGATTCCTTGCCGAAAGGCTCCAATAGAAGGTGTTTATAAAGTAAACTCTGATAGTGCTTGCTTTGTACCACATGAGTTAGTGGGGTTTGGTGTGGTTATTCGTGATTAGCTTGGAGAAGTGATTGCTTCTATGTCAAAAAAATTGGCTTCATCTATGGAGGCGGATCGTATTGAGGCGATGGCACTTAGGGGTGTGCTCGGTGTGGTTCAGACGGTTTGAGAGTAAAATTATAAATCGAATGACGGGTTAGCGGATTAGAAGATTGACAAATTGCGGTTTGGGCAGTTTTTGTCAGATTGAAGAATATTATAACTAATTATCATACATTTGTATAATATATAATACTAATTTGTATAATATTTTCTAGATATATAACACAAAGTAATGTTACATAATATTGTTAGGACCCTACTTGTTGTCAAATTCCATGGATAAACTTATGTTTAAATCGAGTTATAATTTTCCAGTTTTTAGTCTTCCCAAGCGAGCGGGCAAAGTGGCGCTCGAGCGGAGTTTACACTCTTACAGTATTTTGCGTATCTACAAAAATATTGAGTGATATGTTTTTACGCTCGAGCGTGGGATCTTCCGCTCAAGCATGAACCTTGGTTTGGAACACGCGATATAGAGTCCCTGCTCGAGCTTCCATTCCCATACCCGAGCGGACCTCGCAATCCCAGCCTCTATAAAACCACTTGTTGCTCCAACTCTAGGGTTAATTTTCCTAGATCTTCTTTAAGGTTTTTAGGGTTTTCTTTTGGGGATAGTTTTATAGTTTTCCTTGATGTTTGATTGAAGTTGAACTCATGTTCTTATAAGCACACATCAAGGAGTTTGTTTGATCTTTCTTGGAGAGTATTCTCCTTCGATGGAATCCGAAGATTCAAGCAGAGAGTAATCAAAAGAGTTTGATGTTGCGTGTAGTCATTTATTCGACAATAGATATTGTGGATTCAACATCAAGCTAATCAATTCCGAATGAAGGTTGCAGTGAAAGACATACAGAAGATTTGAAGACAAATTGGAAGCGGTTCTAGTAATTTGTTTGGTATCTTTGTAATCTTTTTTTCTTCAGTAGTGGATTGATTTGTGGCATTTCGCCTGTGGTTTTTTTATCACAATTGAAGGTGCTTCAATTGTGGTTTTTTCACGTAAAAAATCGTTTGTGTCGATTCATTATTTTTTGAAACAACAATCTAAATCACTTTCGTACGTGCTTAATGATTTAGATTGTGAGTTTTAATTAGTTGCGAATTGAAACAATTAAATCTTGATCTAATCACGAATCACTTAGGTTTTTCAATTGGTATCAAAGCGGGTCACTTTTTGTTTTTATGAAAACTATAGGAGTATGATTTTGTGTGATTGGTGATATGGATTCAATTTGCGAAGGTAACTCGACCCATAGACCTCCGTTACTTGATGGTACAAACTATTCTTATTGGAAAGCTCGTATGAGAGCATTTTTAAATCTATCGATGAGAAAGTTTGGCACTATGTGATCTATGGGTGGAGTGAACCTATTGTTACCATTGACGGTGTCAATATTCTCAAACCCCTTGATGAGTGGGACGCATTCGATTATCAAAACTCAAGTTGGAACAGTAAGGCTCTCAATTTCCTTTTTTGCTCCGTCACACCTAAAGAGTTTCGTCGTATCTGCACGTGTGAGGTAGCAAAAGAGGCTTGGGACATTCTTGAAACGATTCACGAGGGTACTACTTCTGTTAAAAAGTCAAAACTTCAATGTCTCACCTCTGCCTTTAAAGCCCTTTTTATGCGTGATGATGAGACGTTTGATGATTTCTATGCTAAACTTAGTGACATCGTGAATTCATGACGGCTATGTTTACTAAACAGTTCAAAAAAAAAATTAAAAAAAAGAAGCCAAATTTCACAGACCCTAGTTCAAAAGACGAGAGTAATGATAAATCCAAAACTTTTCCACCAAAACTTGCTCTAAAAACTAAAAAGAAGATTGTAAAGGGGTACGGGGTCAAGTGTTATGAATGCCAAGGTTTTGGACATATTGCTCTTGAATGTCCATCGAAAAAGAATCAGAAGAAAGTCTATACAGTGACTTGGGATGATGAAAGCGGGTCAAAGCAAGAACCCGAAGAAACTGAATCCGCTGAAGACGGAGAAAGTGCTTTCATGGCATTCTGGTCCACTTTCACTCAACCTCCTTCAAAGCTAGTGGAATTTGCTCATGGTCAGAATTTACACTATGCTTCTACCTTTTATGGGAGTAATTACTTGTATTAGAAGATCAGAATGAGGGCGTTTCTGAGAGCTTTCGACCTTGAAAGCTGGCAAGCTATTGAAAAGGATGTTGAAAGTACTAACAATCTGAGCAATCAGAGAGTTCTGATTACAATTCGTGAAGTAATTACTGATGGAGAACAACAACGGGTTGCTCACTGCACTAAGGCTAAAGATGCATGGGACATTCTGAGTCAATTTCATAAAAGAGGAGAGTCATCTTCACCACCATCTATCACCTTTCCTGCCTTAGTGGCTCGACTGGATGAGGTCCAGAAGAAAGAGGAGCAAAAAGAAGATGATGGAACATCAGAAGACAATGATGAGATTGAT